CTAAAGTTTTCTATGCACTGTGATATTATTTTAGAAAATAAAAATTAGAGTTGACCAAATAAGCCAGTATTGATAAATTATATTAAATATGTCATTTCAATATTACTTATTTTAGATTTTAAATTTCTAAGATTTCTCTGATATATTTGCATCTCCTTATAAAGGTCAGTGTTTGGTGATATCCTTAATAATCACAAAACAACAATACTTTTTCCTATTTTGTTGCCATGAGTAGAAAAGATAATAATTTCTAATTGCCATGTATTTTTTAGCAAGTTACAAAAATTTAAAATATTATGAATAGGATCCCTTGGGAATTTTATGAAGTAACAGCTATGTTCATTAACATCCTTCTGAAACATAATGATAATGAAATAAATACAGATAATGAAAAACAAATTTTCTAAATGATAGAAGAGACAACTATGCCATAAGATTCATACTTGCCTTAATTTTAACTGTTGAAAACATCTAAAGAGTTTCGTTTTCTAATGACTGATAGGCCTTACAAAGCCTTCACCTAGGTTATATGCAGAAGATAAAATGGGGAAAAATGCACACACAACATAAACAATTCTACTTTTTTTGCACCGTCCATTGAAGTCTTGTATGAGCTAAGGTACATTTTTACAAACCTAGAGACAAATCTAAATTTGACCAGCAGCCTAACAGATGGCATGAGGAGGACTTTCAGAATCAGTCTCTCCAACCCACATGATCCCTTCTGGAGAATCAGAAGGAGGAGAGGACAGAACGTTTCAGACACCAGGTACAACCAGAAACTAGGACACTGACTTTCATAAGCTAGACAGCACAAGGCAGAGGACACCACATGCTTCTGGGTATCACTTTTATATCCAGAGGGACAGAAATCTGTTCCTCAAGATCAGTGAAAGAAAACCTTCCCACCACTCATAGGACTCCAATCATGGTGCCTTTTCTGAACTCAACCACAGTCAGAATTCCAACTCCCAGCCCCTATCCCCATTTACAATTTCAATTTTCAGGTTCAAAAGGTAAATTCTTCCTTTTGATAAGAAATGAGGACTTTCAAAGAACAAGGCACACACAATCCTTCTTAACAAACCAACCACTTAACCATTAATAGCAATGCAATCTAGACTTTTGCTATCTTCTTGGACACTATGGGTGCCATATATGTGACAAGATGGATTTTCCATACAATTTTATTAATTTAACAAACATTTGCTTAGGAATTAATGTATACCAAGTGTTAAGGATATATCCTATATAATAAAAGCATAATACCCTGTTTCCCCCAAAATAAGATAGTATCTTATATTAATTTTTGCTCCCAAAGATGCGCTAGGTCTTATTTTCAGGGGATGTCTTATTTTTCCATGAAGAAGAATACGGTACACGTTTATTGTTAAATGAAAATAAAGGAAATTTATTACCTGTATACAGTTACGGTAGTATGGTAGTTGTCAAGAATTTACTCATTTATTCAATGACAATCATGTCATCATCTTCTGGAACATCATCATAACAATCCAATTCCTGAATTTCCTGGTGAATTTCTTGTGACTCCATTTCTTTCAGAATCAGTGGACCAAATCTCTCATGTTTAGCCTAGGGGGGGCCTAATTTTCAGGGGGATGCCTTATATTTCACTCAGAAGGAAACCTGTAAGTAGGTCTTATTTTCGGAGGATGTCTTATTTTTGGGGAAACATGGTATGCAAATCGACAGAATGGCAGAACGACCAGTTGCTATGATGCACACTGACCACTAGGGGGGAGATGCTCAATGCAGGAGCTGCTCCCTGATTGTCGGTGAGTTCCTACAGGGGGAGCACCACTCAGCCAGAAGCCTGGCTCATGGCTGGTGAGCGCAGTGGTGGTGGGGGGAGCCTCTCCCACCTCCATTGCAGGCAGGAAGTAAGGAGTGAGGGGTCCCAGACTGCAAGAGCCCTAGACTGTGAGAGGGATGTTTGAGGCAGGCGGACATCCCCAAAGGGGTCCCGGACTGGAGAGGGTGCAGGCTGGGCTGAGCAACCCCCCGCCCCACAATGCACGAATCTTGTGCACCAGGCCTCTAGTTAGTAAATAAAACAACATTTGCACTCCTGATGGGTACACTCTACTTAGTGATATAGAAAAAAAGAAAAAAAAGAAAACACATATCAGAGCAAGATGGAACAGGGGTAGAGGTTGGGAGGCTGTCTGAGTGGACTGTAGTTTTAAATAAAATGTGAGAGTGATGCTTACACAGCTGGTGATATATGAGCCAACTCATGGGAGGTGAGCTTGAACTTTACTGTCTCTGGAATAGGGTATTACAAGCTTTCCTAAGAGGCTGATATACCTGACGATGGTAAAGGCTCAAATACATCCCCCCGCCCCTTTTGTTTCTGCTAAGGGACATGAGGAATTCCCTATTTTTGATTAACATATTTTGAAACAATTGTCCACTTTATGATAAAGTATAAACTCCTGAACCTGTTATCTGCAGGTAATTAAGTGAAGTCTTAATAAGACACTTATACGACTGAACATCCAACATATAAATAAGTAGCAGCTTAACTAAAGTTAGGACCCATGACACCTAGGACCTGTGTGTCTTTGTCCGCAGGATACCCACGGGACGCAGAGCTGAGCTCAGCTCATGGTACGTATTCAGTGAGTATGAGTTGGGTGAATGAAGCAAGGGATGGTTGGGTACAGTGGGGTTGTGATAAGTGATGAGGATTTTTGAGATTTCAAGACATAATATGAGAGCTGTTGGACCTCTTCATATGCTCAAGGGGCACAATTTGACTTTTAACCTAACCTAAATCTTTATTTATTTATTTATTTAAATATATTTTATTGATTTTGTACTGAGAGGAAGGGAGAGAGATAGAGAGTTAGAAACATCAATGAGAGAGAGTCATTGATCAGCTGCCTCTTGCACACCCCCTACTTGTGATACGCCCGCAACCAAAGTACATGCCCTTGACCGGAATCGAACTCGGGACCCTTCAGTCCCCAAGCTGATGCTCTATCCATTGAGCCAAACCAGTTTTGGCCTAACTTAACTCTTTAGAAAACCAAGTTATTATAATAAAAAGTGTGCCAAATATCTGCTTATTGCATCTGAGTTGTGATTGCACCTATTTTTTTTCGAAGTGGAGATGGGAGGCAGTGTATGCTCAGGTATATTTTATTTTCTACCTCACTACAGAGACAGCAGCCAGGAGTGACAGGCTCAGGGAAGCCAACTAAAGGCCTAGGCATAGAAAATCAGACCTACAACACCTATTACAGGCAGTCTTCTGCAATTGTAATGAAATACAGGTCATAACTATGTGGACCATGAAAGTCCTCTCATATCCTGTAAGGAAGGAGAGGTATCTCTGTGCATACGCCAGCTCTGGAGGTAGGCATGTGGCAGAGGAATCTGCCTTCGGGACCCGTGTGGGAGTGGGACCTGGGGAGCAAGGGGCAGGTTTGGGAAGACGTCATGTACCGGTACTAAGTTTTCAAATGTCATCTGTAGTTCAATGTTGCCCAGTTGACCTGTTAACTGGGGAGTTCCCTTTTTAATTACACAACCTGTAATGGGCATGTACTCTTTCATTAGGATGTGTCAGTACGTCACGCCCGGAGGACATAATTTCATATTATTATTATTTTTATTTATACTTAAAATAAATGATATATATATTTTTTCGTTTATTTATATATAAAGCACAAAGGAAAATACAAAATTACAAAGAAATAGAAAAGAATAGCAACAAAAAAATGGAAACATCGAATTAAAAAATTATAAACTTTACAAACAATTATAAAGATTACAAAAAATATATACCGTCCCTCTCAGGGCGCAACATATATTTCCAGGACGTATTCATACGTCCTACCTGTTCCCGATATTGTTTACGTTTGACTTATTTATAGGTCCCGCTTGGTTAACAGGTTTTAAGAATAAAAACATTATTTTTGTGATAACTGATTAGCGAGCACTGAGCTACGAATCTGTGAATTGGCTTTTTCTTCCCCATGAAAATGGAGAACAATGCAGCAGTCCTCTGTGTTACATTTGTTGTCCAAAAGTACAAAACACCATCTTTACAAATCCTGAATCCCACGAAAGTCTGTTATTATTTTTAGTTTTCTGAATACGTTAATTCCTTTAGGGCAGAAATCATCTTTTTCAACATTTAATTGTATGAAACTCAAGAAATGGCAGTTAAATGAAACAAACAATTAAGAATTAAATATTTCATTTTGTTAGCAATGTTCAAAAGAAAATTATTTAATAAAATGATAAATTAGAAATTATGATCAGCATGTATGACAAGTGGAAAATTATGGAAGTTATATAATAATGGAACTTTATCAATGATCTAAATTTTCTAGACTGAATAGTTAATTTAACTACATCTAGCAACAGTTGCTCAATTTCCTCTGGTCTATAGAAAATGTTTTAATAATTAAAAAGTTACATATATCACATAATACCTTTTATTAACACATTCTGGCTTTAAAAAGGGACTGCTATTCATGAGAAGAGTTAAGTAACATGCTGAATATTAAATGAAATGTTTACAGTAAGAAGCAAGATATTAATAACATCAAATTGATGTGGTTCTCAGACGTGTTTTACTCATGTACCTGATATTCTGAGAGTTACACACTCAATTCATATAATAATGGCAGCATAAAGGAGAAATGTTTACAAGGCAAAGTTATTTATGATGTAAAAAATAATGGTCTTAGAATGTCCACTGTGAGCAAATGCTAAAGCATTATTTATTTAGTGAATATTAATAACATATTAAAACCTAAAATTCAGTACATATTAATAAAAAAGAACAACTGCTTCCTAGACTTAGGAAAGTTACTACCTAGCCAGTGGTTTGATGTTTAATCTGCCTTTCCAATAATTTTAAAGTGTTTCTAAATACCTATCCCACACATATATGGATAACTTTTCTGTTTTGCAGAAATTGAGGGTGTATTTTATAGCTTCCAAATAAAAAAACAAATAAGTACCTGTAGAATTGCAACCTCATTACGAAGCTGGCTTTCTTGTTTGGTTGGAAATCTTAATTTGTCAATGATTTTAATAGCTACATCTCTTCCTGTTTTACGATGTTTTCCTTTAAAATAAAAAAGAAAATATTAGCATAATGTTATTAAATACCATCTATTTAAGAACTCCAGAATTTATAGGAACACATAGAAACTATAAAAATGTTTCATGAAATTAATTAACATTTCTGCTGTTAATTAACATTTTTCTACCTCACTACAGAGGCAGCAGCCTGGGTGACAGGCTCAGGGAAGCCAACTGAAGCATAGAAAATCAGACCTACAACATCTATTGCAGGCAGTCTTCTGCAATTGACTTATACCCACAAAGATTTCATTTATTGCTCCATTATTCTAAATCATATATGTACTATAAAATTAGCAACTATTTAAAACACAAAAGAATTGGAACATTAAAGCTATATGTATCAACAGCCTGATATTTCTCATAAAAATGTATTTTAGAAACAGGATATTGAGCTACTTAATATAGAAAGTACTCATACCACCAGCACTATGCTCTCCTTAAGAAAGTCTAATTTTAAATTCCTCTTAAACTAATGTGTAGTATAATGGAAAGAATAAACATCTTGGCTCTATCACTCATTAACTTTGGGATCTTAAGCAAATCACTTAAGCTTTCTGAGTTTTAGGTTCCTCATCTTTCATGATGAAGTTGTTATGAGAATTAGATGAAATAAGATGTGTAAAGTACACAAAGTGTCCAGATAACTATGCACACTAAAAAAAAACAAAAACAAAAACAAAAGTTAGTTATCGCCCTGGCTGGTTTGGCTCAGTGGCTAGAGCATCAGGCTGTGGTCTAAAGGGTTCCGGGTTTGATTCCAGCCAGGGACACATGCCTGGGTTGCAGGCTCGATCCCCCGCAGTAGGGGGCTGGCAGGAGACAGCTGACCAATAATTCTCTCTCGTCATTGATGTTCCTATTTCTCTATCCCTCTCCCTTCCTCTCTGAAATCAATGAAAATTTTTTTTAAAATGTTAGTTATCATCATTGTCGCCATCATTAGAACATGATGAGCCATTTCTATACATTATATCCCATTTAATCCTCACAAAAACACACACAAAACTTTGAGAAATCTACAGGGCACCCTTAAAGGCTTAGCTATAGTGTAACAGGTATAGAGTAGTGTTAATTGAATCTAAAAATTAAAATCTGAAAATGGACCTAATTAGTCAAAAATTTTGGTCACATACAACTTACCTGTGGTAAATCTAATGTTCCTTTTCTCTTTTCCTCACTCTTGCTATTCTTTCTGACTCATCCCAGCCAGCTTCCTTTAAAGACTGACTGCTTTCATGTTCTCTACTTCCTTACCACCGTTCCTTACTATTGGGACTCACTGCAACCTCTGTTCCAACTTAGCCATTTTCCTGCAACCTCTCTCTTCAAGGTCACAGCTTCTTTTGTCTCTAAGCCTCTGTCACTATAGCACTTGAATTCTCTTCTGAGACTGTCCTCACCCACTTCACGCTCTGTGTGTCCAATCTTAACTTCTCACTCTTCCTCATGAAGGCCTCCCGAGGTCCCTCACTAGCCTGAGAGTGCACTGGTCCCTCAGCCTGGCCTGCACCCCCTCATAATCTGGGATCCTTCTAGTAAATCTACTCTTTCAATGTTGGATGTTACCAATTATCTGGCACTTTGCTGGTCTCTCAACCTCATTCCCCACACCTGCCCCACTCCGCACTATGTGCAGTTATGGGTATTTACCATGCTTTATACAACCACGTTTTGTTTTGTGTGCATGTGACTATTACACTGCAGAGCGATACTCTGTGAGTGGTGTGATTAGTCTCCCCTGTTACACTGTTATGCATTAACAACAAGCACAATGGTTGCTAACTCATTAATAGGTTTGCCATAAAAAATAATTTGAGCATTTTAGAAGAATCACAATTCCTTTGTAAAACAGAGTAGAACTTGACTAATTTTCAACTAAAAACCACAATATTACAATTATAAGTAATACTGAGCAAGATGTAATTATTTCAGAGCACCTGCACCTCACAAAAAAAGATAATTTGTTATTAATTTAAGGAGCTGAAAGTTATGATGTTGTTTTATAGGGCAGGTAACACATTAACATCAAATGTTTTGTAAAGACTTGACAAATATAATAGAACTGGCTAGAATCTAAAATAGCAGTGGTCAAAATAATAAGTTCACCAAATAAGATTAACAATAAGAAAAAAGATAAAAATTCAGTATTTCATTTCTAAAATTTAATGCAAACCTTAATGAAATACATAGTGTTAAAGATATTAGAATTAAAAGCTTTTTTGTGTGTCTAGTTACATGATTGGTTTTCCATGGAGTTCTGAGGAAATATGTTAAAAGAAATGAAAGTAATTTTTTTATGAATTACAACTTCCTGCTTTCTCAATATTTTGTCTAAATAAACCAATATTTAACCATTATTGCATATAGTTTGTTCATATTTATGCAAAATATGTTTTTTAGGAGTGAAAAACTTCTTTTAAAACATAAATATTCCAATTATCCAAATAGTAATTATTTAAAGAAAAATGTCTTCAAAAAGATAAAACAGAGACAGTTACTTATCTTTCATATTTTTTGAGATATAACTTATAAACACAAATAGCTCAAATTTTAAATTAATAAAAATACTTAGTGAACTAACCTACCTCCATAAACAATTCCAAACTGCCCTGAGCCCAGTACTTCGTCAGGAAAAATCTGATAGACTGTGCTGATATCCTGTAGGTACGAGTCCAATGAAAAGCAAACATGAAGTGGAACAAAACATGAGTCTTAATAAATTATAAAATGTTATTAATTGTATCATAAATATTAAGTATTTCAAACAAATGACAAATGCGAGATGAAATCTGCAATATGACCATAATATCCAAAGAACGTTCTTCAATTAATGTAAGATTGTAATGTTCTGAAAACTATTCTGCTCTTAAGCAGCAGAGTAATGTCCAATGAAGTGTGTCTCTAATGAGAGAGATAAGACTTAAGACTATACAATGCCACTTACTATCAATATTCATAGAAAGGATTTGCGAATTGAGATGGCTACAGAGAGGTATGGGTTAAATAATCACAGGTCTGTGTGAGTCCTGGTTCCAACCACTCCACGCTTTGCGGCTAGAAAGGTGAGGCTGCTTCTTAATCAACCACCACATCCCAATGAATCTACACGGAGAGGAGGCGGCTGATTCACTGCAGGAGCGCGGCAGCCACCACAGGTGGATGACAGCCCTTAGAAATCCTCATCTGCGTGGTAACTAAAACCTTCCATGTTTACCGCCTCTGGAGGTAATAAGGTCTCCATGTCTACACTATTTCTCCTTGACAGAATACTAGCTAAAGCATTATGTGTTAATCTGTGTTGTACAGTCTGTGACTTGATGACCACATTGATGAAAGCACAACACAATACTTTGCCACTTTACATAGGATGTATTCCTATTACATAACATGGAATGTTCTGCCTATCTTCTACTTGCATTCTCTGCTTTTTCAAAAAAAAGTCCTTTTACGTCGAATCCTACCATCCTGAGATCCTATACATTACTATTTTCTTATGCCCTTCCCTCTAGAAAAGCTGTTAACATCCTATTATCCCCTTAACAGTGTCTATGGGGTGAGTTCAGGTTCGTAGATTAGTACTGCTCCAGCATTCTGAGTCTAAGCTACAGCATCTTCCTCTGATAGCTCGATGGCCCACCAGGAATTTTCAGTGGGCAGTCATGGCCAAACAGGGTGGAACAACCCCACAGCTTTCTAGAATTCCCCAAAGGCTTATAAGTTTATCTATATGTCTGTCTTCTCTGGCTAAGCAAGAGCAAAAGGAACCTGCAGATCTTTAGAAAGCTATCTGTGATCAATGGCACAAAAATTCATCTAACCTTCACTCTGAAGTTTTCCTAATTCTCTCTAATCTTTCATTTTCAGTTTACTTTATATCGATTTAGCAAATATTGTAAGCTGTTATAGAGGTTCATGGAATTTATTAAACACATCAGTGTAACTGCAAACTTTGCTTTTATTCATAGGTAAGTATAGCAGGCAAAACAATAAAATATCTTAGTCACAAGACAAGTGAGAAAGATCTTCTCATTTTGGGCTTACTTGTCATACAAAGTATTACAAATAAAGCAAACATGACAGAGTGCAAATTCTTTCATAATATGTTTGACCTATAACATTCAAAAACTCAGCTGCAAGGATGGAGTTCTGTGCCCTGGGGGACAAAGATGCTAGATATAGATACATAAAATCTAAATCATGCAGTTTTTTTAGGTTTCCTTAATATGTACAAGTGACTGTAACAGCATTTGCAACTCCTTGTCATATGACAGCAATCAAGACATGAGAATAAGGGTATGTTTAAGCTATTCATGCAACTAAATTTTTTTTATTTTATTTTACTTCATATTGTGTAATATCACTCATTAAAATTCTAGTACCAACATATAAAAATGTGTGAAAAATTGGAAACTGTATTATAATTGCTTACCTGAGATGAATAATAGGTATTTAGCTCTTAATACTACAGAATAAATTACAAAAAAAGTCACCAAAATAATCCATCTAATGTAATGTTTCTAAAATCATATGGAAGAAAAGTACCCAAATAGACACTAATTAATTTTCAAAAAATACTAAAAATTTAAAATGTTAGATAAATAATGAAGAGTATTTTATGATATCCTTATTTTCTAATTTAAAAAAATCATATCACCACATTTTATATTACTAAATATATACTCACCACATTTTCTTGAATCTGGCAATTTGATACTGAAATACTCAGAGAAATATCTCCTGGAAATACATGTTAAAAATATACAAAAGAAGTAAGAGAGATAACAGCATAACAAGAAAACACATGCTTACTAATCAAGCTGCAGGGGTATTTTTAAATCAGAGCAATTAGAGTTTTCTATAAACATGTCTATTAGGATATTTCTTTGCTTTTACTAGTATAGATTTACTCAGTACGGCTTTGAAAAATAGTATTTTCTCAGTTTAGAATGTGGAGTCATACAGATTCGAGTTCAAGCACTGGCTTGCCACTTTGTGGCCCTGGTGCAAGGTTAACTTAATCTCTCTAGAGCCCTATTTCTTCACCTGTCAAATAGCCAAGTCATTAACATCCGCCCGTTCAGGTTGTTTTAAGGTAGTGGTTGTCAAACTCTTTCGTCAACAGAGCCAAATATCAACAGTACAATGATTGAAATGTCTTTTGAGAGCCAAATTTTTTAAACTTAAACTTCTTCTAACGACACTTCTTCAAATAGACTCTCCCGGGCCGTGGTATTTTGTGGAAGAGCCACACTCAAGGGGACACAGAGCTGCATGTGGCTCATGAGCCACAGTTTGCTGACAATGGTAATTTAAGGCATTAAATTAGAGACCTTATGTAAAGTGCTTAGCACCAACATAGGCATGCACATTCTACTAATATATATATTAGTTGGAGAGATCAATGAAAGAGAGATAAATCATAAAATAAACTATGATGTGAAAACCTGAGCTTCTTCCCTACAGACTTCATTATTGATAGTAATTATGAGATTTAAAATTACATTTTTATATAGATATCCTCAATATTTTTAAAAAAATCCAACCTCAATATTTGATTCTGATCCCATTTTAACAAAAGTCTATCTCATTCTACTAATGACACAGATCTCTTCCTAGGATTAAATTATCAAGGGTTTCCAAGTATTCTGCACACCATGTACACACATGGTAGCCTAGCTACCATGTTAACTTAGATTTGCAAATAGCAAGCCTGGCATTCCAGGTCAGGTTCAAGAATACTTCTAGGTCTCTGCTATTGCCGAATATTTTGGTTTACATGGATTTGTTCGAATTTAATATAAAATAAAAATAGGATAATTTAATGAATGTAATATCTTAGTATATTATGTTACCAAGTAAACAAAACCATCTCCAGAAGGCCCTCTTCACCTGCTCTACAGACAGGAAGCTAGCAGACTCACTGTGAGAGTTGGTTCCGGAACCTACGGACGAGCCCTTGGGAATGACGGGCATGAGGGCGTGCTGGATCGCCACCTCCCACATCCTGGCCACATCGGCACCAACGCCACTGGTGAGGACACTGCCACTGGGTGATGGGCTGGAAGGATTGACCACATTTTCTCCCACGTAATATACTACATTTGCTGTAGTGATCTCAAAGCAGTGAGGGTTGGCCCCATTAGGAATTAAAGCGGAAGGTTTTGCTGGTCCCAGAGATAAAATTTCTGATAAAGGAATTTCCTGTGGAAGAAAGAGTATGCTGATATAGTTTACCAAAAGTATGCAAATTTTCAAATAAGATACATGCCAGGAACATGTAAGAAATGACATTACAAATGGCCATCGTTTATGTAAAATGGTTTCATAATATACTGAATATTACAAAGTAAAATTTAAAAAAATATATCTTTGCTAGAGAAAATATAATTATCTCATTTTCCCAGAAAAATTCAAGTGCCTTTCTCATTATGTTCATGTGGCAAGAATAAGTATCAATAAGAATAATGATTTTGATCCTGCCTCAAAATCTAAAACAGAATATAAATGACAATTTTTGTGACAGTGAGGTGGAATGACAACACTTTTAAAATGCATTTGGGTATGAATAGCTGTTTTCAATTTTTAACTATTCTTTAAGGTACTGGAAGTGATTCCTATAATTTGACTGGATACATGTTAATATAGTAATACAGCCAAGTGAATAGTTTTAGTGAGAAAAACCACAGTGATTGGTTTTAAAAGCAGATGCTTTTAAGACCATCTTAATATTAAAAAATAATAATCACCACATTGTCTTCCAGGAGGTATGGAGTGACTAAGACATAATAATTGTTAAAACACATTTTTTATTGAAAATTTAATGAGATATCCTTTTTCCATTAGAGCTGTGTAAAGTGTCCACGGAGAATCACTTCAACTATGCCTGAGCCGGCATTCATTTTGCAGGAGCAAGTATAAACTGTTTTCACTCTGAATTTCCTTTGGAACCTTGTTTTAATGGGTGATACATTATTCCACATCTGTATTATTTCATGTAGAGAGAACGAAAATTGCTGCCAAACTTTTGCAAAGTGCTCTTTATGAATATTGACAATGTAAGAAGAAATCAGTCAAGGTTTGATTTCTTAACTACTCCCAGTGATGCTGCAAGGCTGTAGAAGGAAAAAAAAAATGAAGAAGCAAAAGCAAAAAAAAGTTGGAGGTAGTGGATTTCAGAAATTACTTTTAGCTAATTTGCTGTGACCTTGACTTTTCTGTTCAAATCACACATCTCGGCGAAAATACTCAATTAGCTTCTCCTCCCCCACCATCAGTCCAATGGGGCCAGAAGCATTCCCCTGAGAAATGTCAAATTCACCAAAGGCTACTGTGGGGTCACAACCTGACTCCTCCAAAATTGTAAGTTACGGAGAAGAAAAAGTATCTCTTAGAGAAAGCACAAAAACAATCATGCTTGTTGGATGTATTTTGCATTTATGATAGTCTATATACAGAGAGTGTAAGACCCCAACCAAGGAGAGAGCCACCCTTACTTACCTTGTAGTACCTGCTTCCAGTGTCATTTTGAAAGAGGGTTATACATTTGCTATCCAATCTCCAATAGTGCCGTTTCCGCTGAAAGAGAAGTTAGATATAGGATCTTTTAAAAACCTTCAAAATATTTACTATGGATAAAATAAATACCCATTTCCCAGTGGGGACAAAATTGGATGGTGGAAAGTGCATGAAAGACTCACAGCCAATTTCATTCTCTACAAAGTGTCCATTTTGCATGGTAAGTTTGCATGTCTACATCAGATTGATAAGCAATAAAGGAGGTGATGTATTATTCTCAACCAGAATAGAATAGGGCATGGCATTTAGTACATGCATAATAGTAAATAGAAAATATGCTTTTGAAATTTATTTGACTGTTTGACTAGCTAAAGGTGGATTTTTAGTCTGAAACAAAACAGAAAGGCTTAACAGGAGATACAAAGTTCATACATTCTCGTTATTTTAGAACATAAGGAATGCCATGTTGATCCAGCCAGGTACTCTGGCTTCAATTAGAGACTGAAGAATTCTGAATGTCACAACGGAACTGAAGACTACTTTGACTCCATGGCCTCAAAGTAAGGGAACTGTATGAAATCAGTTTTCCTTCTCTCAAGCGCTCCACAGATCTCTAAACGTAAGTGATTTGGTTATCAGGTCCTTGTAGGTACAGCCTCCATTGTAGGGGTGGTGGTGGTGTGTGTGTGTGTGTGTAATTTCACCTTTTTAGACCCCAAAGCCCCAGCATTATTCTTGGTCTTTTCTAAAACCAATTTTAGACCAATCAAATATATAAAATATGCTTTAAATACCTGACACCATGTCTAGGAAAAGCTATATCATGTTCAGTTGAGTCCTACATTACGTCATGCAAATCTTTCTCCAGCATAGAAGGTTGAGATTATAAATAAATAGGTTATAGGTGTTTATCTAATGAAATAATGGGACTATTACAGATAGGAAGTAATGAGGAAAATACTACTGGTAACTGAGGGGGGGGAAAAAAGCTTATCATTAGATTTAAATTTAACTTTAAATCATGGATTCAACTTTTTAAAAAATATATTTTATTGATTTTTCACAGAGAGGAAGGAAGAGGGATAGAGAGCTAGAAACGTCGATGAGAGAGAAACATCGACCAGCTGCCTCTTGCACACCTCCTACTGGGGATGTGCCCGCAACCAATGTACATGCCCTTGACCGGAATCGAACCTAGGACCTTTCAGTCCACAGACCGACGCTCTACCACTGAGCCAAACCGGCTTCGGCCATGGATTCAATTTTTATCTCTTACTCACTTGTACAATCTCATTTACAACTATCAGGATAATCTAGAGTAGTGAGCAGCTTATATTAAGATTTAAAATGTGTTGTTGTTTTTTACCTAATAATGTATAGGATTACTGTATTCCCGAAGACAGTTTTTAAGTGAACACTTAAGAATTTAACAAGAATATAATAGTTGCATTGTTGTTTTTTTCTCCCTAAAAAACAGACGAGCATTCTTAAAGCATAGACTGTGGTTTTCACGTCTGCTATAAAATGGCAGGTGGGCATTCAAGTTGTCTGAAGATCATCCTGAGTAAAGAAGGTAATTGGTTTCCCTGAGACAGCTGTCTACACTTTTTTCTAGCTTAGTTGCTTGCTCAGCTACCTCTGATACCCAGAGACTGCTGAAGTGTCGCACCCGATTCAGGGCAGGCCTGCAGAGAGAGTGCTCCTGCTAACTTGGACACCCCACGCCTTCCCGGGCGTTCGGGTAAAAGTGGGCAACCCCTGAGAGAAACGCCCCGGGCAGCTCACCAGTGCGTCCTTGCTGGTGTAGTGGACCAGCCAGCCCTCCTTCATCACGGTGCTGCCTTTCCGCTTCGTGTGCTTGACAGACTGCACGACTCGCATGAGCGGGATGTTGTTGCTTGTTGATGGGCTTGAAAAGTCAAAATATTTCAGAAGATAAATACTTTTTGAAAGAAATCTTTTCCTGCATAAAACGCTATTTCAAAGTGAAAGTAAGAAAAATGTCACACCCCATTTTTAGTGACATGTACAGTCAGAGAACCATGGCTCAGCTTCTGGATTTCTCTGAAGAGAGATAGGCACGTCACACGTACACTCAAAAAATCCCAAGGCAGGATAATAAGTGCCTTCATCTCCAGGCTAACCTCTATGGTGTTCGGTTTTGGGTAAATACCAGGTAGATTACTGTCTTAGGGTCTTTAAAAATATATATACACACACACACACACACACACACACACACACCCGGTGTGTGTGTATATATATTGATTTTTTTATAGAGAGGAAGGGAGAGGGAGCATTAGAAACATTGATGAGAAAGAAACATTGATCAGCTACCTCCTACACACCCTCCAATGGGTATGTGCCCGCAACCAAGGTACATGCCCCTGACCGGAATCGAACATGGGACCCTTAAGTCCACAGGCTGACACTCTATTTACTGAGCCAAATTGGTTAGGGCCTGTCTTAGGGTCTTGAGGCCACAGTATTCATGACAACTCATTTGCTTACTTATTACATACTAGAGACTTGGTGCATTAATTTGTGCACAGGTGGGGTCCCTCAGCCTGGCTGGTGATCAAGGCCAACTGGGGTTGTCTCATGGAGGGAGGGGCTGCGGGAGGTTGGCCAGCCACAGGAGGTTGGGTGTGGGAGTGCACTGACCACCAGGGGCCAGCTCCTGCATTGAGCATATACCCCCTCAGCCAATTGACCAGCCATTTGGTCATTCAGTGGTTTGGTCACTTAGGCTTTTATATACATATTACAGGCAAAATATTGATCATTTATAGATAACATCATTTCACATAAATTTGAGTCTCTGAAAAGTTTCATAAAAATTAAAAGCTGTTTAAACTGTTTTTAAAATAACCATTCTTCATGAAATTATATCAATCCTTTATCTCTTTCTTTTTCCTTTCTGTCTGTGTCCTCTTCCCTTCTCATTCCCACATGCATCAATGCAAGCACACCACCTTGTAGCCCCCTTTGATGCTAAAGAAATGTACACCTTCAAAAGTGGGCCATAAGACTAATATTATCCAATATTTTAGAAATATACTTTAATCCATTAAATGGAAAAAATGTCATTATTTGGTTGTTTTACTCTGATGAACAATTTCAATTTGGCAATTAATATGGCATTTATAAGTGGACACAAAAGTTTGAACACACTTGTAAATTAGAGATTGGCAAATTTTCTGTAAAGGGCCAGGTAACTAATATTTTAGCCTTTGCAGAATACTAAGCTCTGCCAATTATAGAACACATGTGCCCACAGACATTATGAATGGGCATGACCATGATCTGATACAACTATTACAAAACAGGCAGCATCCTGATTTGCCCAGTGTGTGCTGACCCCAGATGTAAAAAAAAGAAAAAAAAAGAAAAAAAAGAAAAAAAGTGGAGATCAAAGAGTAATTTAAAAAGTATAGATGGCTAGATCACAACCATGAAATTTCATCTACTTCTGAAAGTGTAGACATATGTGATATTTGTAATAGGGACCAGCTATAAAATAAATGATATCGGCTGAGATTCATCCCCAATCTTTGTGCTTCTACACAATAAGCTTTGCATAAACATTAATTTAGTAGTAAGTTTGTAGATGGCAAATATGAGAACCCCTCACATGCAAAAAAAGAAAAAAAAGAAAGAAAAAGTGGGTCAAAGACTGAGGCCATGCTAGAAAAGGATGCAAACTACACTTTTCCAAGGGATCCTGACCTCCTCACTCCAAAGGCTCTCTATGTTCTACAAACACAGCTCATTCGTGAACAAATTATGCACACACTAGAACTTCCTTTTGTAGTAGATGAAAATATCAGCTGGAGGTCCACTGTTTGACCAAGGCTGTGAGTATGGCCCTCACCTGATGGTTCTGTTGGAGTCCTCCTGGTCTGGATCTTGGTCCTGCATTTCCCCACTGTCGTTCTGGCACTCTGCCATCACCATTGCAGCATCCTGGACCATTGCTTCTTCCATATCATCCATGAGCCCACTGTTCCTCTCACTGTCATTGTCGTCACTCCCTTCTTCCATGACCACGTCAGACTCTGCCCCAGGGCTGAGCAAATCTAAAAAAAAAAAAATTGTTTACATCTGTGAAGATAAGCCAGAGCTTAAGAGAAAGGCAATTCTAAAATGAATCAGCCAGAAACCCTAAAAAAAATAGTTATTTGAAGAATCTATCTTTCCTGTTTTTAAAATTTTTGTTCATAAGTATTTGAACTTATGAGAGGACAAACAGGTAATTGGCAAGCAGATGCTTATTTATTATGCCTAAAAAATATGAAAAGTCATGGAGAGCTTTAAAGAAAGTCAAGGGTGAGATAGAAGCAAAGTGCTTGGAAGCAATGATACCAGGCAGAAGTGAAGGAGAAATGGATAGCATTTTAATTTCCCAGCCCTGGTAGGACAAAAAGGATATTTGGGCAGATGAGGGAAACTTTCACATGCAAAACTTCTCAGGATCATTGATTCTTTCTAAGTCATGGATCTCAATATATGAAATTGGTCACATAAGAAGCATTTTTTAAATACCCAAGATATTGAATATTTGAAGTTATATTGAATTACCAAGTTGATAGTAATGAAATAAATTATAACCATTTACTGACTTATTTTAAAATTAGAAAATAAACTGATCAAAGACCCTAGCCTGCCAAGCTTGGAAAATTGAAATTCTACCAGATTTTTCTGACTTTCTTGGAAAATGCAATTTCAAAGAAATTAACAATATCAAAAATGGCACTTCCCCCCATTAGTTGTAGTTATCAAGAGTACATTAACATTTTCTGGGTCGGAACAAAATCCATACCACATGTCACAGGAAGTGGGGAAATGGCCAAGCTTTCCACTTTGGCAGTTAATTCATGCACAAATCTCCAATGCACAAACTAATCTGGGAATGTTTGCTTGGACAGCATTCCCTTCTTCTAGTAGTTCGGTATTTCTTCTAGAGAAGAAAGTTATAGAGAAAGATAACCACTTGTTCTTCAGTGTTTGAGCACAATAAACAAACAAACAAATAAACAAACAAGTAAATAAATCAACTGGTCTCTTTGGTCTTGCATCACCATTTTTCTTTCCAGAGCAATTGAAAAACTGATATGAGACTGAAGGTAGAAAGCAGTCCACTCTCTATGGAAAAAGTTAGCCTGGGGTAGATAGAAAGTCAACTACTTTGCTAAGAATTCATGAGGAATACTATGTGGAAATGAAATGGGAGCTGTTTCTTTAAGACATGGCATTTTTCTGAAAGAATCTTTCAAAATTAATTTATGTAGCTAGAGTTTTCCCAAAGGAATACTTCCAAAATGTAGAAAATGATATGTATTTTTAATTGGCTGAATTACAGTTCCTTTTATTATTAAAGTTTCAGGTTAATGACACATGTGTAATGAAAGTAGCTGGATGGAGGAAGAAGAGGGAGATTATTTCCTGATGGGACAGTCTCTGTATCTTCCCTCCCTTGACCAACAGGGATGAAAACTACCCCTTGGTCTCAGCGCTTGGAATGATGAAGAGGGAAAGAGACACGGTTATGAGTTGTAGGTGTTCCAACATTCCAACACTCTCTCCATTTCCAAACAAACTGGGAGAGAGGTGTATTAAAAAGGACAACTGGAGAAGAAATTCTGGAATCCAAATTTTCAATACTGGCTGTTCCCTGTGTAAAAACAGAGATAATCTCCTTGGTTTTTATCAAAACCTTATGTGCTGGAATGGGTGATTTTCTACAATACATATAGTAGGACAAACAGAGGCCATAATTTCTTTTTAGCTGAGTCACAAGTATCTGAATGGAAGAAATAAACAACAACAACAAAAACAGTAAAAAAATAAAAATAAAAATCCTGCTAAGCTGACAGCCTCTGAAAGGGATTGCTGGTTTATACCCACCTCCATTGATGCTCACTTCGCCCAGGCAGTTGTTGGGTACTTTTGGTGCACAGCGTTTATGACAGTTGAATCTGCAATCTAATCACAACGATTTCAAAAGAAAACAAAAACCAAGAATTCATCAGCACGTGAGTTGTAAAACAAAGGAAAATAATTTCAGCTGGGGGAGAGCTAAGGGTCTCTTCTGGCTGGGGAAGATGCTGGGGGCAAGAGCCCCCCTACCTTTGCACTGCAGGCCCTGCCGGAAGAGCCCCTTGAGCAGCTTCTTGCAGTACTGGCACACGGTGGGCCGTGTGTACGAGTGGATGACGAACGTGTGTGGCACCTTCACTTTCGACATCAAAATCTTGTCGAGCTGAATGGGGCGTCCGATGTATGACTGAGAATTGGACCTCTTCTCTCGACCAATAAATGATTCTGATGGTGACTTTTGCTATAGGTTTGAAAAGCAATAAAGAACATTAAAATGTAGGAGAGTACTTGATTGGTATCTTCATGCATTTTAAACACATTTTGCTTTACTATTGTATTTAGTGGCTTGATCCTTAAGAATGTGAGCTATCTAAGGCAAAACTGTTCCTGTTCATGAATGTATTTATCATCATCTCTGTTTTTCTTATTTGAATTACCTGGTTTTTATAGTTTGAAATGAAAGGAAGTGAAAATCAGAATATCTGAACCTGATTTCTAGAACTTACACAAAATTTTGGCTTCTAAAAGTTATGTAATAACATTCAGACAGGAAAATAGAGTTGAAGAAAAAAATGGCCCTTAACTCCACTGTGCAAATTACTTTATTGACATTTTCTATAGTATTCCATGCACATGGTTAGAAAATATAAGCAGTTCAGGAAGATAGAAAATGAAAAGTAAATCCACCAGATCTACCCTATATACTACTCCATCTGAAAAACATCTACAATTTCTTTAGATTCACTCAAAGGGAAAGGTATGATTTAAAATGATCTCAACCATATGAAAATAAAGGATGTAATTCATACTTTTTCATATATATATATATATATATATATATATATATATAATTGGAAAACACAGAAACTGGTGGACTATACATGACACACAAATATTGGTGTTCTATTTACAATTATATCTCTGTACACTCTTGTCTCTTGTTTTGGGCTTAATCAACCCAAGGCACATGTTTTAAAAATTAAACAAATTAAAATTAACTGTTTCAGTTTTTTGGACAATTTCATGGTATCTCTTGACATCATGGAAACATACTTTGGAATCATCAGTATAAATGTATTTGGAAATCATCAAAATAAAAGATAAATTAAAGTACTTTTTAATACTTGTTATAATTACAATTATCTCACTCATTAAGCTTCTAATCTGAGTACTTATTGAATTCGGTGTTTTATAAGATCAGGCAGGCCTTATTATTTATAGTTGAGGCATCACAACTCATAAAGTTTAAATAAATTTTTTTGTGTCAAATGCTAGTAAATAGTAAAGCCAAAATTACTTGTATTATCATCTTATTCAGTTAATTTCTAATTTGGAGTGATTCTGACAAGATGAAAAAAAATCATATTTTACATGTAATTTCCATCCATTTCTATCCCTGTCTGCACCAAAAGGTTAATACCACTTATTACCAAATGTGGAAATTTTGATTTGTAAATTCACTAGCTGCAACAAAACATTTTTGATATAAGGTTCTAGTTAAGATTATTATGTCTACAGTTATAGTTAGAATTACAATTCCATGAAAGAAAACTATAAAATATAATCACTCTGGAAAGGCTCAGCTCCTGCAGAGACATCTGGAGAGCTTATAAAGATGGGCCAAGGCCTGCCAAACCAGAATCATGAACATACTGAGGAAATATCTTAGGGATTGAAAAATAATTGAGTCCATGGGGTTAGGTCCCTGTTTCATGTGTCCTTCTTGAGGAACTGCAGCCATCAGGCCAGTTTTAGGCACAGACTAAAATGAAAAGTGATGTTTTTCCATAGTTGGAAAGTTTCAACACTCAGAATAAAAGCTGACCTGATGTCACACTTTCTTAGCAGACTTAAAATGTTTTCAGATTTGGAAAACCATATGAAAACTTGACCATTCAGTTATTTTCCTTAATTTAAGATACCTAATTCTAGGCTGTTAGCAGAGCCAGTTCAACATAAGACTATTTATTATACTTTGGGGCAAATTCACTTAGAGGAGTAAGAGGCAATCTGTTCAAACAGACAGTTTTCTTCTCATCCAACATAGTAACATTCATATAAACACGGCCATCAACTATAAGAAGTGAGTTTAGGGAAAATAAACTGACTGTTCCTTTGTGCCCAGACTCTGTACTGCACACATTCAGGCAATAATGAGATGCCCATGACCACATGTGTCCCTGGCACAGAAGAACCTAAACTGCATAATTTAGTCAGAAATTAAGATTTTACTAGCATTTTAAGATGTAATTGCAATTTATGATTTTACTAGCATTAATAAAGAGTGCCTCCTGTCATTCATGACATCTTAAAATTACAGCAACATGAACGGCAATACTATCATTAAAATTTTTTAAAGTCCCAAACATAATTAGTCATTTTCAATATGGCTTATAGTTGCATATGATAAAGTAGAATTTTCAAATATTGAGACAGGGTGCTGGATGGTGACTTCTCATGTGGGAACTAGTTTATTGCTGGAAGGAAATCGAGTTTAATTTATTAGATAAACTCTTTGGGGAAAGGAAGAGTGACGAAGCCTTCTGAAATTTTGTTTGCAGAATTATATGCTATGTTTTGGGAGTGAGCACGCATTCATTTACATGTGCTTTTCCTATTATGTGGCAAATCTAAGAAGTAAACACAAAAAAGAACACTGTGACACTATCTGATGACTTTGTAAATGCTTCTGAGATATTTATCCGTTCTTCAAAATGTAAAACAGGGCCATCGTTGTTATATAACAAATTGTAAAACAAATAAAAACAAAAGCCTATGAAATCAGGCCATTGCTCTGTGATATGTATTTATCATCCTATATAATAAAAACCTAGGTGGCGTCATGCCCTTACATGATACCCTCACGTGATGTCATCACAAGATGGCTGCTCCACACAGTGAGGCCTGGGGGTGCCATGGCTCAGCATGGCACAGAGGAGGCCAGTCCAGGTGGAGGAGGCAGATCACAGCAGGGGAGGACAATTGGGGGGCAATCAGACTGGCAGGGAAGGGCATTGGTCCTAAACTGGCAGTTGGACATCCCCCAAGAGATCCCAGATTGGAGAGGGTGCAGGCTGGGTTGAGGGACACCCCCCCCCTTCCATGCATGAATTTCATGCACTAGGTCTCTAGTTATTTATATAAATGTTTAAGACCCATCATTGCTGTCATCAGCAATTACCTCTTCAAATATTTTCAATGATGGGAACACAAACCAAACATTTCTAAAAATTTTCTCCATTGCTAGTGGGAGTGGGGTTCTTGGGATGCCACTGGAATAAGAATTACTGGAGACCCCAAATGAAGATGAGATGTGGTAGGAAGCTTTGTTTGTGTGAAAATATATTCCTCAGTTTCCAAAGTCCCATTTTATGGAAACAAGTCCTGGAAAAGGTGCAGTTGGGGATCCAGCAGAGCTAAAAGCAAAGCCAGTGTCCAGAGCTTTAAAAAAAAAAGTATATAAAGTGAAATAACAGCATTGTGTTATTTCTTCAATTACTTCATTTTACTTGTTTCCTGATTTGTATACTTAGTTATAATGTTTACAGTACTTTAGAATTTTAAGTAAGACATTTTTTTTAAAGTATACTCTGGTAATAAGAAAATTATTCATTTCTCATCAACACTAATAAAGGTTTTATTAGGTTTAATAAGTTAATTAAATTGATTTCCACTGTTACTTGCTGTTCTGTTTTGGCACTGTGTGAACCTGGGATATCTACAGGATGATTGTTTTTGTTTGTTTATTTTTGTTGTTATTTTTTTTATAAGAAAGTTAAAATGCTTTGGAAAGGAAACCACTATGTTTTGTTTTATACTACTTCATTATTATGTTCAGAACCAAAGTGGCTCAGAACTCACAGAATAAACTATAAATGCCCTTCTCCATAATTACAGTAAGCATACAGGAGGATATGCTTCCAAAATTTTTCATTTTTACATTAGTCATGGGTCCTACAAATTGTTCTTTTCCTGAGTTGAGGAGTTCGGATCAAATTACAGGTATGCGTGGAAATTTTGTGAGAACTGACATTATCATAACATATGGTACTGGGATGGCTGTATGTAAGTGATTTGATTTAGCAAATTACAGATGATAAAAAAAATATGACAGTGTCTTTTGCGTTCTCAATGCAAGAGGAATCTTATCAAGGGAGTAAGAGGAGAACAGAAAAGTGATGAAAGCTGAAATTTAAAGGTGGAATTAGAGATTAAACAGAGTAAATATTAGAGAGATTAAAATTTGGTTAAAAGGCTGTGGTCTTGTGAAGGAGCCGCAACATCCTTATGCTAATAGTGGTTCATCTGAAATGAATGCCCAAGTGAAAACTACATGCACTGGACATCTACTTCCCAACACAGTGCATCCTGCTTTGCAGAGCCTGACTTTGTTTTTGAAACTGGTATGCTGAAGGAATGACTCAGCAAGTGGGGAACCTTCCCAGGAAATGATTGCTTAGATTACATTATGGAAACTCCAACTGCCAGCAAGTCTTTAAACATTTAACAGGACTTGGAAACAAGGCATATTCCACTTCAAAACAAACTCTCTTCATTAGCAAAGCTAGAAAAAGAGGGGGGAAAGTTGCCCCAACAAGTGGTTTGCTTGTTGTTATATATGTAGAGATCAAACATGATAAAAGTCACTTTCCAAAAAGCATGATTCAAATACATAACTTAAAACACACACACACACACACACACACACACACACACACACAACACAATTAGCCTGTTTCTCAGTGGTTACAGCATCAACCGGAGGAAGGAAGAATCTGGATTCAATTCCTAGTCAAGGAAGGGCACATACATGAGTTGCACATTTGATCCCTGGTTTGGGCAGCAACCAATCCATTTGTCTCTCTCATATTGATTTTTTTCTCTCTCACTAAAAATCAATGGAACTGATATCCTCAGGTGAGGATCAATAGAAAAAAATAATAAAAAACATGGCTCAAATGAAAACTTCTGCAGTATTAAAACATTTATATTTATTAACTAAAATTCATTTCACAGCCCCACATTAGAACTGGATTTTGGGTGACATAAACTGCACCTTGAGTTAAAGGAAACAAAAAATGTACAGAATATTTTAGCATACACATTGACAGTTCTTTGTGGTGCTTTCTCAATTATCAGACAATAAATGTCTAAGGGAAGGATCATATCTTCAAATATTTGTGCTCTATTAATGAAAACACACATCTGGTACTTGATAAAAACAAACAAACAAGCATTGCT